GGAGGAAGAGCCAGAATACTGCGCAACAGATGGGTTAACAGATTACTGGGAGTCAGTGACTGGCATGGTCCAGGATGAGTCTCCAGCATGCAAGTACCTTGAGAAAACCCATCGAAATAAAAGGGGAGATGCACTGCCAAAACAACTGCTTTGTCTATGAAGTGAGAAAGAGAATATCTGGCTAAAGAACTGTTGGATCACTGAAGACAACCATAGGATTACACGCAGGACTGGAAAGGACCACCAGGGTCACCAAGCCCAGTCCCCTGACGAGTGGAGTCTTCATCACCACGTCACCTCCAAGCCAACCTTCAAAAAGCTCATGCATCGAAAAAAGAAAGGTGTCCCTCCTCCCAAGCAGAGGTTCAATTTGCAATCTCTCCAAAAAGACTTGTTACCAACACACCAAATATTTACACTTACACCAGTATGAATTGCAACATATGCATAACAAGGAATGTTAGGTTTCCTAAATTCATCAACTTAAAAAAAAACAAAACAAAACAAAAAACTCCACTTCCCCCTCCTAATCATTTACAGGTCTATGCCCTTGGGATTACGGTTCACTTCTCTCCCAGCCTTACTGGCTAGAGAGACTAAATGAAATCCTGACATACAGCAGCAACTGGAGTTAAACAGAAATTATTCGGGCATATCATTCTGTAAAGCAGCAGGGTACCACATCCCCAACCATTACAATGCCTGTCGAGATTATAACAAACGTGCTGCGCTACATTTTTGTGTCTGAAGAATTAAAATCACAACCATTTTAACATCCCTCCCTTGAGGCGACCACTACTGTGAAAACACATCAGTCACAGCCAAAACTACTGTTAAATACTCTGGTAATTCAAAAGAAAAGTAAGCACACAGCACCTTCGAGATGGTATTTGGGGATACCGGACTTAGACGGGGGCCAAGCCGTCCTCAGGTTGATATGATTTATCCTTGGGTAGGGACTGTTTCAGTGTAATGCCCAAAATTTAACTCCTTATTTGTTCATCTTCTGAAACTGTCGCACTAATTAAATAATGAGCTAGTATCAAAAAAGTGCTAAATCACAATTGAATATACTTAAAAAAAAACCCCAACCCTTCAGGGCAGAACTGCATTTAAAAAACAAGACAGGTGCACGAGAGGCTGGAGAAGGAAGTCGTCTCCAGGTATTCAGTGCGTAAATGGGAAGAAATTGTGTCCTTGCCATAGAAATGTCAAGTATTGCAATGCAACAGTTCTCTGTAGGGGAAGCAAGCTTTGTACCATCGGTAATACTTGGCCACAACCACTCTGGGGTGAAAGATCCTTTGCAGACTCTTTTCCTTAAGTTATTTCCATTTGCTATAAAAGCGTGGAGCAGCTTTGAAAACAAAGGCTGCAGACTTACCCTGCAAGGCTTCTCACACTGGAGGAAGTTATTTCCAAGAATTTGGCGTTCTCTACTGTTCACCCAGAATCAAAGCAAATTTAAGTACCATTAGAGATGCGCACACCACTCCCACTGCTAAGACTTTCTATTGTACTCCTTGCCGGACTGCGTGGATTCTCAGTAAATATGGATTTTTTTTTTTTTTTTTTCCCCCTCACCAAAAAACTGCAGTGCTACATTTAAACTGCGAACTGGATTTGTTCTGTATCATTTCGCATGTTCAAAAAGAAACAGGTCAAAAGACATTTGTCTTAAACTAGAAAAGGTGACATCGCTCTCGGCCTCGGAAGTCTCAACTTTCCTTTGCTAGAAATGGAGAGAGCTGCTTTTCTCAGCTGGTGGCTGGGATCCCTTTCCCCCCTCTGCTTTGGGAGCCCTCACTGAGCAGCCATGCACCCACTCCGAGGCAGACACCAGTGCCAGATGGAGATGATCTTCGTGTCAGCAGGCCACTGCTTCTTAGGTCTCTGCCCCGTTACTACATTTCCATGGTAGGAGACAGCTGCCCGGAGATCAGCTTTTCAGAGGCAAACAGAAAGGAAGATAATGGAATGAATGATTTCCGAGTCATACAAAAACAAGTGCTGGGAAAGACGAGGCATACGGCCAGGAGATGAGACACAACCGTGAGGGTTATGGACACAGCAGAAGCTTTGCAGTTCAGGCAGGGCTGCCTGTGATCCCGGCTGGGTTTGGACGGTCACCCTTAGAAAGGCACATGCTCTAGTGACCCGGTTTTAGGAGGTGCTGAGGAACCTGCCCTTCCCAGCTGAAAGCAGGGGGAGATGCAAGAGCTCAGACCCTCTAAAGTCAGGCGTGGGCGTGGGCAACTACATGGTAAATGCTTACACATAGAAACTGTGCTACCATCGCTAGCATTAATTCAGTTTCTCTTTGAAGGATATAGAAACCCTCAGGGCACTCTTACAGCTTGGAAAGATGCTGATCAAACCCAAACCCAACCTCTCGGAGCACCTCACACACAGCAATGTTCTGCTGTCCACAACGCTTCGGCTGGCAGGACGGGCAACTGCAGTGCGACCTCTGCTTCGGGGGTCTTTAGGCAGAGGAGCGCTGGCTCTACGTTACGGGGCTCCATGGCATATGAAATATATGTACTAGATTGAGCTTTCCTTTTTTCTTTTTTTTTTTTTAAGACAATCCTCCTAGTCCTCTCACTTGGATTCTTACTAGCCTGGCCCTTATTTTGAAGTCAGTTTGCCGCTCAGTGCCATTAAGCCACAAAGGACCTGGGAGATCAAACCCATTCCTGAGAAAGAGCTAAATAAAGATTTTGAAACATCAGATTTCACCGCAAGTCTGGGGAAACAGAAGCTGTCAGGCAACAGCTCTAAAGCCCTGGCAAAACTCAGACAAGCTTGTTCTAGCCTCTAAATACCAGGTGTATAAATAACCCAGGGCTGCTCTGACCGCTCCCCACTGATGCCAACTGGTGATCGTGAAGGGAGATTGGGGGTGAATTCTAAAAGCTATTTTGGATATGGAGCTTTACTGGAGACCTGAGTGCATCCTCTTCCCCATCTATGTCTAAGATGTCTATGTCCACCCAAACATCTCATGCAGAGGTGAGCAGGTAGCTCCCCTCTCTTCACAGCTCTAACACAGACCCACTGTCACCGCTGGCTCTCCAAAACTGGGCTGTGAGGGGATTTTGCCAAGATGTGAAACCCGCGGTGAGTTCCGACACTTGCATCAAGGTGCACATCAGCGAGCTCTGTGCAGCTCAACTACCGCACGGCTGCAGCCCTTCTCCCACTGCCCCATCTGCTCAGCCCTCTCCCTGGGAAAGGTGCCACAGCCGCTGCCTGCGAGGAGCTGGTCGGGGTCCAAGACGCAGCTCTGCTACGAGGCCGTCTGTGCGAGTTAAGTACTTCATCGGTCAGGAGAGCGAGGCTGAGTGTCGGGGGTTTGCTGCCACGGTGTGGAAGTCGCAGCGCCTTTCACTAGAGGGTCTTAAAACTTCTCTGCAAATGGAGTGAGCCTTACACCCCCGAGAGGTAGGTAAGTACATCCCTATCCCGTACATGGGGAAACTGAGGTAGAGAGAGGTGAAGTTGCTTGGACGAACAGCAAGTCAGGGAGAAGCAGCACCAGGGCAGGAGTCCTGCCTCCCAGCACTGTTATTCATCAGATCATACTCCTCCTCCTCCTCAGTTTCATCTCAGTGAGCTTTGAAAATGCAAGCGAAGGAACCAGAGGTAGGACCATGGATGGCTCGCTGGGGCTTCCATGGGGTCGTGAACCGCTGTATGGCATTCCCAGATGTGTCCCAGCTCTGCCTGACCTGTACCTAGTGCCCTGTGGTCTCACGCAAATGATTCCCAGTCACGTTCTGGAATTAAAAGCTGCTTCTACTGAGATACACAGAAACGGGGATGTTTTCCCAGAGGAAAAACACGCGCACTTGAGAAACAGCCAGAAAAGGCAGAGGTGCGCACTGACGCAGGGCCATCTCTAAGTGAAATCCTCGCTCTCAAGGATGGAAGGTGACAGATGTTTCAAGATCCCTATAGCCCTCATCGTGCAATGGTTTGTAGACTGAAAACAAGCTTTGGGATTGGCAGCAGACTGATTTCAATCATGTTTCTCCCTTCGGCTAAAAAAGTACAACTACTGTAAGAAGCTCCGACGGCTTTATCAGACCTCTAACAGTATCCAGCCCCTCTCAAACACTTTTCCTTCCCAACACGGGGCTAACAACATGTGCCTTTAAAAGCTTAACCTCTTTACAATCTGCCAAGTGAGAACTATGCCCATAGCTCACAAGAAGTTTGGTGAGTGTAAACAGAAGGACTACGGGAGGGAAAAAAATCCTACAGGGACTGAAATGCATGCAACCAAAACGGCACCTCATCTCCGAGAGGGGACAAAGCTCACAGTGGGAACATCACACCCGGCCCAAACCAGCGCTCCCGTCAGAGCAGGTTTTCTGCTCCAGGCTTCGAGGGGAGAGATTGCGGGCAAGGGTCCCCGTGAGGAAATCTAGTGAACGTGTGTTATTTGCAGACAGCATCACAGTGGTTAGTGTCGATTCGAATGGCAGGTAAGAAGAGGGGTGAGTTCACTGGAACAGTACGCAGCCGTGGCTCAGTCGGGAAGAAGAGGATCTAGGAGGAGGGAGTGCGTGCACCGCAGAGACAAGAGGTCTCCATCAGTCCAAGGATAAGAAGGTGAAATAGAAAAAAAGGCCTGGGGAGTGTCACATTGCCCCAGGGATTCACAGTGCCAGAGCGAGGGGAAAGACGTGAAAACAGCAGGCGGCTTCCTGGATCCACATCTCCGATTCCCCCAGCCTGCATCCCTCTGCACCTCCCACCTCACAGATATCTAACAGCGTGTTACCCTTGTTTCCGAGTAAGGAGAATTCACAGTGTTCAGTAGTGATCAGGTACAAAAGCCGTTTAAGTCTACAGTCTCCTAAGTGCTGCTGCCTTTGACGTAGTGCCTACGCGGGGCTCAGTGCGAGCAGCTGGAGGAAGAGGGAGTTTAGAACAGCAGACAGATCAGATCGCAAAGGCACGGTTAGACTAGGTGGACACGGGGTGTGTTTGCTTTAGAAGATAGTGGTCTCATACTTAGTGCTGAGGGTCCGCTTGGAGTCCTGTTTGGGGTCCACGACCCAGGAGACACTGGCATGAGACTGGGAGTCTTGGTCCACTTCAGGAGGCTCCAGCTAGAAAATAAAGAAAGAAAGAGCATGTTAGGTCACCCGTGCTTCTGGGACAGAACGAGTGGGGATTCAAAGCACAGAGAGGCTGCTGCTCTGCCTAACGCCCATCCCAAAAACGTGCACATGTGCGGGGAAGCAGCTCTCACTGGGGAGGCATTCGAGTCCTTCACAGCCAAAACGTGTCTAGCCACGGACCAGCACCCAGGACCCTGAGATGACTTCCTGAGTTAGGCCTGCAAGCCCCTATTACCATTAGTGACAGCTTCACTTCATCTCACAAACAAGCATGAAAAATTCAGGGCTATAAAGATGGTACTATAAAAAAAGAGGCAAAGGGAGAGAGAGGGAGACAGCTCCTGGCAGGTGAGCTCCCACATGATTTACTCTCCTGACCAAGCAAGGCTCTTTCATCTTGTCCTCCTAAATCAGGATCCTACAGGAAGGTTAACAACTCCAGAAAGAGCAACGCAGTTAGTTGAGAGCTGCCACTCTACATCAGCGGGGACAGATATGAGCGGTTTGTCCCTGGGATTCATCTGAGCCCATGGCACGGCCCTGGAACGAGTGGGGAGGGAAGACAGCAGCGAGGCAGGACACGGGACCACAGCAGGAGACGTGGGAAGCGGGGAGGCAGGCGGGCCAGAGGCAGCTGGGGCAGCCCGGGTCGGTTCGTAATGGAAGATGGCAGGAAGAAGGGTAAAGACCTTAGCTCCGGGACTAACAGACTGCAGCGGCAGGTAGGAGGGGCGGTGTGTTGTACAGGTGTGACAGTAACAACAGCGAGTGTCGGGAGGGAGCGGCACCTGAGCGGGGGGAGCAAGCAGAACACAGACAAAAGGAGACATTAAAGGAAGGCAATGGCTTATGCAGCAGTCCCTGCTCCTCAGCAGCTCCAGTCTTAGCTGGTTTTGGCTACAGGGGCACTCCCGTGCTGCAAACCGCAGGTTACCTACTGATCTTACTGTGGCTCTGCAGGGTTTGCACGTGGAAGCTGTGCTGGACCCAGCAGGGCACTTAACCCCCATCCCACCCAGGCTATTTCCACCTCTGCTTGCCCTCACCCTACCAGGGAAGCCCTTACACCGCAGCAGTGCTGCCAGCAGAGCCACGGACACTGCAACATCAGCGGCGCCTGAAGCTACAGGCATCGTGTCTGCATCTGGGCTCCCCCCACCACGAAGGGGGAGGTTTAAGCGTGTGGTGCCCAAGAGAAATCCCAGCTTGGACCACGCAGATCGCACCCGGAAGCCTGCCAGCCCGCACATACGTACTGCAGATTTCCTCATGCCGGCTCGCGGTTTAGGCACCGGTTTGGAAGATTTTGTTTCGATCATTTCTCCTGCTGCAGCACCCAGAGGCTTCGCTCTCTGGGCTTGGAGCGCCAGCTGGTAGGCGACCTCGAACGCCTGCCCCAACGTGAGGATGATCTCGTACGTCAGGTTCTTCGGAGAGACCACAGAAAACACAAAGCCGTTAGATGCATACCTCGCCCTGCGCAGAGTCCATGCACTCAGCACCTTGCTCTGGAGATGCAGACCTCGGCGGAGCCCATCGCCTTTCCGTTAGCAGGTCGCATCCTGCTGTATCCCTGGCAAAGCCGCTCTGCACACATGGGGCAGCGCTGAGCTCCTGCCCCGTGGGGGAGCTGGCACCAAGCCGCCTCCACGCTCGCACAGCCCCGGCCGGTGGGACCACCTGCGAGCTGCTACAGCCCCGTAAGCATCGCAGTTTAGCAGCGTTTTGCATTGTAAAGCCCAAATGTCTTGTACAGCCGATTCTGCCCAAGAATAAAAGCAAGTTATGCTTCCACACTCTCAGCGAATTAAAAGGCTGTTAAATCAGCCTATTACGCTCGACATAATTGAGAGCGTATTAGGGTTTTGTTCACAGCATATTCCCCAGGAGGGAAAAACTCCTGCCCTGCTTTATTCAGCACTGGAGACTGCAGTAATAAAGCCAGACAAATACTATCTTTGTCAACAGAGCTCCAAAGTAAAAGCATTTTGAGCCAAGACCCTGAAAGGAATATTTTAGGGTAGAAACAGGTAAAAGAGCCCTAGAACGGACCAGATCCTGTTCTATGACTCGCTGATAAAGCTGAGTGATGAAATAAGTGGACTGCAAAGGACTGCAGCGTGCTGGGAGATGAGATGCGATAACCCACTCACCACATCCACAGTGCTGAAGACGTGGCAGTAGTGGTGGCTGGTCTGCAGGTCCTTGGTGATGTAGGCGAACGTGCAGAGATCCTCGGGGTCCTGAGCAGCGCAGGAGATGTTCCGGATCTCGTGCTCAGCAATGACATTCTGCCGGGGTCAACCACAAGCACCCGTCACCCTTCTCGGGATGGCAAATACACCCCCAGCAAACGGTGGTCGTGGCAAGTGTGTACTGGGGGCAGGGAGCAAAACAGGTACTGGCGGAGGGGGGTGTTCTCCCAGCCAGACCAATCCTAGCTCCCTCCCACAGTAGGAATAAATGGCAACATGGTCCACAAGCAGCCAGTTTGCCAAGCCTTCGGCATTCAGATAACCATCACCACCTTGGTGTTCTCCTGCAATCCTCAGAAGCTGGGCTCCTCAGGATCAGCCGTGGCTTCTGGAGCCACTAGGTATGACCTGCAGCCCCCAGGCAGGTGGGATGCAGATCTTGTCCCTCCAGACACCAGCTTCAAGGCATTTGAAGCTCACCTTGTTAGAGGCATCGATGAACTTCACCCCCTTGTATGTGATGGACAGTATTATGGTCGGGATCTTCTTCATATGCTCTGTGGATTTCTTCAGAAACAAGAACATTCAAGTGACCGGTTGTGAATAAATGCTCCCTTCCTCACCACCTCCCCAGCCCACCCCAGAGGCACACAAAGGCAGGCCTTGGGGGTCTTGGACCAGGAGGAGGAAAGCCTGCTCTTGGTGGAAGCAGAGGGGAAGGGACGGGGATCTGAAGCGAACCCAGCACCTCCTTCCCCAGCGAGAACGCCCGTTCTCCCACTGCACAGACCTCCCAACTATGGGGAAAAGTGCTGGGGAGGGGCAGTTCACCAGCCACAGCGGCACAGCCTGTGACGTGCCCTGGGGCAGCCTGCAGGGTTTGGGGAACCATGGCATTACCGAGATCCCCCCATTTCCCTCTCCACATCATCCACCACAGGCTGTGAGCGAATCCCCTGTCCCCATGGCCTCCGTACCCTCATCTTGGCACAGGCGTCCTGCGTAGACTCTGTCCCTCGGAGGTCTTTGATCAACATGGAGCCCAAGTACTGTTTGGAAGAGGGAGAGATGTTAAAGGCTTCAAGCAGGAAACCCTGCCAAACCCAAGGCAATGCCACGGCCCCCCGAGCGGCCTGCAGCCGTGGCTGGGGAGGGACAGGTCACCCAGAGAGGGGGAGGAAGCGTGACAACTCTACATGCAACAACCTGACCCCAGAGCCTCCTCATCCTCACCACCCCCAGAAGCCAAAAGCCACTTACGTTGGCCTCGTACCCGCAGGACTCGAAGATGAGCTTCTCCGGCTGGTGCTGCCAGTTTTGGACTGGGGCGTACGGGGCAGCTAGGCTGGGGGGGCGCAGGGTCAGCTTTGACTCCCGACGGTCCTCCTGGAAGGGAAGAAACACGGATGTGAAGCCACAACAGGTCCAACCTGGATTGAAACACAGATCCCAGGAGGGCTCTTTGGGTTGATGCAATTGAGGGTCACGATGGCCAAATCCCACAGGGGCTGGGAAGAGGCGGCACGCTGTGGGTGAAGATGCCAGTGCTGATGGAAGTGTGGGTCATCCATTTTCAAGGTGAGTCTGAGGCATAAACGAGCTGCTGGCTCTAATGCTGGAGGGAAGCTGTGCCTGACCGGCTCTCTGGCTCTCCACGCATCGTCTTGACTCCTCGCTGGCTCCAGAGAAGGGGGAGTCTGCACAGTCCCCCCTGCAGAGGGGCCCCCAGGACACAGAAAAGCACCCACTGACCTGTGCTTTGTAGCGCTCAGCTCTGGAATAGGGAGCAACCTCGGTGCCACGGTCATGTTGCCTCTTCCCGGTGTCCCCGGAGGGCAGCAGGAGATCGGCAGATCTGCCCGTGCAGGAGTCGTTCTGGCTCAGGGGCGACGATGTCTGGGACATCAAGTCCTGACACTGAAAGAGGCAGACACCAATAACCATCCCGGTCAGCCTGTGCCGCAGCCGTGCCCACCCCTCGCACCCCGACACAAAGGGTGCAACGAACAGAGCTAACGGGGTCAGCTCCTGCTCTGCAGGCTCCTGCCTCAGTGCCATCAATCACACCATTTATTTTCCGCATGATACCCTTGATTTGCTCTAGGACAGTTTCAGGCAGGTATGCAGCCCTGCCAAGCACACCTCCGCCTCCCGTGAGCTCATCCCGGGAGGGCAGGAGACACACTGAGCTGCGGGCAGGGTGTTTATAGAGGAAGAGGATCTGCTAAAGCACTAAGCAAAGCACTCAAAGCCGCTGACCATCAGCCACCCCAGGAGAAAAGCCCTGGGAGCCCAGCGAGAGATCAGCCCAGACGCCTGACAGCCTGGCTCTTACTGCAGGCAAGATTCGCTGCCTGTACGTGCCAACCGGCCCGGCAGACAATGCGGGAAGCTCACAGCTGCAACACGCATTAGTCCTATTCAACGGACTTGCTTAATTTGCCATTGACGTCCTTCCGCTCCCCACGCCGGAGCCAGGCGCTGGATCGCACCAGCTGTAGCACCAGGAAATGCTGCAAATGGCCCATTTTCTTACACAGCCTCCCCGTCCAGCATATCAATCAGTTGATGCTGCACCAAAGGACTCCTCTCCCTGACCAACAACGCTGCCTTCAGTCTCATCAGTCTCAAGAGGAGACTTCAGAGAATTGCAGATCCTCAGCTGGCTGCTGCCTGTCCGGCCTTTCGTCGTCTGAAAAGGGGGTGGTTGAGCAGCAGGGCGAAGGTGTAGGGTTTGTACGTGGCACCCTCCCAGCTCTCAAGCACTCGCTCCTGGTGCAGTACCAGCGTGAACCCTCTCTTTTTTTACACCTGAACCCCAGTTCCTAAAAAATCCAGTGTGAGCAAGCAGGGCACAGCAGCCCAACTTACTTCAGCTAAGACTGTTTTGGTTGAAAAGCCTTAGGAATCCAAGGCAAGAGGGAAGAGCTCTGCAGCAGGGCAAGGACCAGATGTTTGGGATGGGGAAACTCTCATCACTCCCAATTCCTGCTCCAGGAAGCTGATTTGCAAACACTGGGAGGAAGCAGCACGACACGCTCGCCCTCTGTGGCACGCCGCCCTGCTCCCGAGATCACAGGTTAGCTGCAAGCTCAATGGGTTTTGCCAAACTCAGCTCTCAAATGTCGGTTTTCAGGAAGAACGGCGAATGCGACGGCTCCCCTCCCAGCCAACCCCGATAACGAAGGGCCTGACATCCTCAGGCTACCACTCCCGCAGCAAAAAATCAACATCCACAAATCACGTCGAGTGCTATTTGGCAGCGAGAGCAAGAGCTCTAGAGAAGCCCAGCCGGCCCAGGGAGACAGATCTCAGACTCCCAACCGGCACAATCAAAACACAGGTCCCAGCTGCATCCCATCTCACCAGCTGAGCCATGTCACATTCCTGCCTGCGGGAAGGCTGCCTTACATCTGGCCAGGAAACAAGGGGAAGAAAGTCAGCTCAGTATTCCCTTTCGGTGCAGGGCACAGAGGTGGGAGTAGCACCCTGCTACCCGTTCAGTGCAGGCACCCAACTTGCATGGAGGCACCTGATCTGAAGGAGCTGCCTGATGTTTCCCATGGGGCAGCATCCAGAATTTGACCTGCGAGGGCTGAATGTTATCTTCCCCCACTCATTTCAATAGCAGGGTCGTGCCTGTGCGAGTATTTGCTGCTTGGGTCGCTGGAGTTAATAAGGTGAAAAGCTGAACGGATACAACTGGCCACGTTAAGATTTCTCCCAGCACTGATGTGTTCACACACTTCAGCTTTGTTTTGCACAGGGAAGATGGAGTTTGACCCGCAAAGAAGAAAGCTGAGAGTTGGTAAACTTGTCCACCACTCCAGCTAGAGCGCGTACCTCCAAACAAACGATGACGTTTGTTGTTGCGGGGCCCAGCCATAGCAGAATTCGTACCAAATTTGTAATTTGTTTTTATTCTGCCCAAGTGTTCCAGGTGCTCTGGCCAAGTCAGAGCCAGCCTGGCTGTTACATTTCCCAAGTTGTGCTTGACCATGCTCAGAATGGGAGTATTGGGCTCTGCATCATCTCCAGCAGCAGCCAAGGTGCATCCATGGGAACTGTTTAACACAAAACACTCCCTCCTCCACACAGCCAGATGTGCAGTTGTCTCAATGCTTCAAGAACTTTCTTCCCAAACCACTAAGTATCTAAGAACCAGGAGCAACCCAAGCTTCCAGGTCAAATCGATTTGTTTTAAAAAGAAACAAGCCATTTAAGTTTTACCCTTTCCTTTTTTAAAAAAGCAATGCAGTTTTCCAAGATCGCTCTCTATGCTCATTAGTCTCAATACTTACCTTCAAAGGAGTTTTAACTTAGATATTGACATTGTAGGGTTTTTTCCCCCCCTTTTTTATAGATTTTGCTAGGTAGAATTTCCTGTGCATGAAAGCAGCAGAGTAAGGCTGAACGTGTCTCCCTCTCTGAGCCTGGACACCCATCCAGGACCTGAGCTCTCAGTAAACAGCCTCTACAGATCTCTGAGTCCCCCAGAGGTGACAGCTGCTAATCAGAAAGGGGACAATTATTCCTGATAGACCCAGGTTTAGCTCTTTGAAAGAAAGGGAGGAAAGTGAAGGAGAGCCAGGACAGAAGAAAGCACCCCGGCCACAGCCGAGCACGCTCTGCACAGACATATCAGCCAGGCAGGGAACACAAACAGTGACTCACTCTCAGCTGCGAGAACCGCGGCGGTTTTGCTGGTGGCTCCTCATACGGTCTGTCTGCCAGGGAGGCGATGAAAAAAAAATTTCAACACCTGCAGGGAGAGACCATGGCCACTGTAGGCTTTCCTGCCCTCGGCAGGAAGCAAAGCTTCCCCTCTTCGAGCAGCGCTGTTCCCGCTGAACACGACTCCCGGCAAGTCACAGCCCTGGAGGGAACGTGGGCAGGATCTCACTGCCACGGCAAGAGAAAGGCAATACTCACGTTTACTATTTCAAGCTCCCAGAGGTTTTTCACAGTGTCAATAGAGCTGTAGCCACTCGAGAGGAAGGACTGAACATAATCCTGCAGCCCCAAAGAGTCGAGCCATGCGGGAACCGAAGGCTGGCTGTTCCCATCGCAGCCCAGGGGTTTCAACTGTAAAAGCACAAGAAAAGGGTTAAAAGCCCCAGCGGGCTGGGATCCCAAGGCATCCAGAGTCAATTAAAATCAGTTTAAAGGCCATCAGCATCTCCATTAGCAGCTTTAAAGTAAAAAATCACTGTATAAACAGGGAATGCACTTGGGATCAAGAGTGGCAGGAGGGACAGCCACCCTCTCCCCAGCACGGAGTCATCCCATCCACATAGCTTGGCGGACCAATATACTCCTCCTCCTCCTCCTCCCTGCTATTCCCAAAACCCTTCCCACAGCCCCTCGACCCTTCTGTGGGTCACAAGGACGTGGCTTTTGTTTCCTCTGCTTTCACAGACGTGGTGAGCAATGCCCTGACCCTGCTTCATGTGAGGGGTGTCGGTGCTGACCTTCGGGAGGGAGCGAGCAGCCTGGAGGAGCTTCCGACGGTGCTGCGGGTCACCGATCCCGATGTCCCGAAGGTCCTGGTCTTCCATGACATTACAGCCCTGCAGGAACAGGAAGGAGCGACATGGGAGCAGAGGGCAACAGAAGCCACATCAGGTGCAGGAGCAGAGATCACGCGCGTTACAGCACCCTCCTGACCTCCCGGCATGTCCCCACAGCAGGAGGAAGAGGAGGAGGAGGAAGGCTCTGCCCCACATGCCGACCTTGGGCACCGAGAGGGCTGACACGAGAGGGGCTGTGGCACACATGGCATCGGTGGGGCAGAGCACTGCCATCCCCTCCCTCCCGCAGCCTACTCTGCGGCATCCTCTTCCAGCCATTAGATTTCAGGCCATCGCTTACAGCAACCTTTGATGCGCAGATGCTTTAATCACTGTGTAACAACGCCCAGGTAAACCCCAGCCCCCCTCCACGCGTGGTGCCTGAGAAGGGGCACTCGGCTCTGCTCAGCCTCCCTCCACGGAAAGAAATCTGAATTTCTTTCCATGAGAGCAGGCAACCTGGCGAAGGTCAGACTTGTCCTCCGTCCCCCGGGCAGGGAGGCAGCCCACCCGGTGACAGCAGAGATACTGTGGTCGCCGCACACCGCTCTGTTAAAGCCCATTTTCTGCCCCTCTTCCCTCTGCAGAGCAAGAGCGGACGCATGCAGAGCGCACTGACATTACCCCCCCACTTAAAAGCCTCCATCACAGCCTGCTTCCCTGCCCCTCGTACCTGGGGAGAGCTCAGCGGGAAGCCCGGACGCATCTACCCATGGCTGGAAGAGCCACGCTGCTGTTTGACCGAGGGCTTCGGCTCGAGCCCAGACCCCCCCCTCCCCAGACCTGCCTCCCTCTGCTCTCAGGAGAGTCACAGCTGAAGGTCTGAGCTGACAGCGCTTCGCTGTTCCACATTTTGGTTTTATAAGAGAAACCTAATTAAAATTGGCTGTCGGGCAATATGCGGCTGCAGGGGCATGCAGGCTGTGGGAACAGCGGGCTGAACGGCCGGGGCTTCAGGAGGGAAAGGCGAGGGGAAGATCGCCAATTATCTTCTTTAAAGGGCAGCAAATGTTTTATATTCCTTCCCACCCTGCGCCTTCTGTAGTATTTCAGCACGTACGTTTTGTTAAGTACTACCTGCTTTAAATACAACAGCCAAACGTGAAAGCAGTGAGCTGCTCTCTGAGCAGCCAACCCACCTGAGCATGCCCTGCAAGGGCAGAGAAGGAGGAACAGCTCTTCCCACTGTCCCTTCCACTCTCAGATGCTCCTGGACAAGCACACGGGCCCGTTTGCAGCCAGGGCAGCTCACGGGGAAAGCTTGCCTTCGGCGATGGCTTTATGAGAGTCATCGGGTGCATTTCATGGAGCCAGACGCCAGTCTTGCAGCCAAACGCTGGCCGGCTCGCTCCCAGCAATGCCGGCATCCGCTTTGCTCCTGACTTGCTTGGTTTGTGCCTGGTCTACGACAGCACCAAGCCCGGGCAGCATCGCGCCCACCACTTCCACGGCCTGGTGCGATAACTGCTGGGCAGGATGCCAGAGCTGCTCTTCCCCTCGGCCGCAGAGAAAACCATTCAGAGAAACAGAGAATTAACCCTACAGATAAGAGATGCCCGAAGCAACGTCGCTGGGAGAGCTGCCCTCAGAGGCCAGACTGCAGAGAAACAATTACTTAACAAATGACAGTGGCAAATTAAAGCAGCGGGTGGCGGGGAAGCAGGGCCCTGCAGACACTCCGTGACCGTCAGCACCCACAGCACCGAGGCGGAGGCTCCGCTGCCTCCATCCTCCCTTGGCAGGCAGGGATGCCCGACGCCCTCAATTCCTGGCAGGCCGTGGGGGGACCGAGACCGCAGATCTGGAGCAGACAGCCGCAGTACAAAAGCATTTGTCTAAGAGTTGTTTAAAGAGCAGAAAGAGCCGGGACTAAAGACCCTGCAGCCGATTAGGGTGGTTCGCTCCCTGTTTTCCAAAAGGTCAGTTTATACCAGCAGGCTGAAAAAACCCGCTGCCAGCTGGAAAGAGCTACTGCCACTGCTCGAGACAGCACCGTGGGTGGGCGGCAGCTCTGCAGGGGCACCGATACCTGCCTCGCCTTTCTTGGATTGCACCCCACATCCTGCAAGCAAGGCCACGTGAAACCCCTGGCTCTCACCTGAGTGGTAATGCTACACACACAAAGCTCTGTGCAAGGATGTAACTATGTCATATAAGCTGTTCTGTGCTCCCCTCAATTGCACAAGATAAACTAAAAAAAAAAAAAAAGCTTTTTTGTTGGTTGAAGGCTCCAAGGGTGCCCATTTGGTGCAAGAGCAGCAGCAGGCTCCGTTGCATTGAGAGCAAAGCCCTTACGTGAGTAAAGCAGAGAGGCTGCCACTGTCAGAGGCAGTGGCCGCACTGGCTTGTTAGCAGCAGCATCCCACCAAAAAAAAAGAAAACATCCCTCCCCTTTCTTGCTCACAAATTTTAAGCCAAAGAGTCACATTTGATATGCATACCTGTAACAGCGGGAGATTGTGCGCTCAGCTCAGGGGAAGAGGGAAAGGATTACAGGCAGCTTAACTCCCCTGACATGCACCTTACCTAGCACAAACGTTTTTGCATGCTACAGCTCTGCTACAGGGATTGCTAGAAGATCCTTGCGAGGCAGCATATATGCAAGGAATTCATCTCCTAGAGGGAGATGGCTTTTAAAGGGCTTTTTTAAATGGACAGAAGAGGGCTAGAGCAAGTGATGGGATTTCTCTTGTAAGCCTGGAGAGCAAAGTATTACTGCCCTACCTGGGGGAGGCAAAGGGAAGCACAGGAAGGGACTGACTCACCAAAATCCCTGCAGCAGGTTAACGTCACACCTCGGGTACCTGAAACCTACAGTTCCCGACACCTCAGCCCGCTCTGCTCCCCCGACCTGCCCGTCTTGGTGCTCTGCTGCTTAATTCCGCTGTAAAGAGCTGGGTGCCAGAGCTGCAGCAGGCGCGGGGGCTCGAGCAGGATGCTAGCAAGGGCACGGTTCCCAGCAAACCCTTCACGCACCAACCAGGACAGCAAGAACGGTCCGCAGCCAAATGAGCTGTGACCATGGTGATGTGTAATTTTCACGTATAAAAATTAAACAAGCTTGCTGATCCTATTTACATTTTTACTCATGCATATTTTCCAACGTTGAGACTTTCTGGTGCTAATCCACTTTAGCACAGCAATGCCTGGCTAGCACAGCCACGTTCCCTCACCAGCAGCACGGGGCTGGCAGCTCACGCTCTCCTAGGATGCCTGTTTTATGCGGACACGGCCAGTGCCAGGCCCAAGACAAGGCAATAGGTGTTCTCCCACTTTTGGCATCTCAAATTCAAGGAAAATTGCTTGCTATGTAGCAAGGATACAAGCTCGTTAAAGACTGTAAAGCCTACAGCTTTCTCCAATGCTCCTTATTTTTACGTGTCGCATTAAATTCCCTCAGTGCCAGTCCGTATTCTCAGGGTACTTAACAAGGATAGACAAAGCATAGCAGCTCCGAACAAATCATTACAGTCTATTGTGCATGAGCCTCCGCTTAGAGAAACGTCCTTTAAACCCATCCAGATTTCACCTCCTATGAAAAAAAAATAATCCGCTACTAAAATAGATAATTAAATGCAAACACACTGGAGATCTTTTAACCTTTGCCAAGCGAACAGATGAGCAGACTTTGAACCTGTTTGCATTTAACACGCTGTTCAGACAAAAGCCAAGGGGCAGAGATGCTTTGCCTGGGCCACCACTGCCACCTGCCTCCGAGCCACGCTCCTCCGGCGCAGCAATTGCCGCAGGTTTGGTTAGCGCCCTGCCCACTGCTCGGGCTCCTGCGCCTGCAAAACCACCTCTCTGCTCAACCAGCAACTAATGACTTGGCACTAAAAGCCCCCTAAGCCAGGAGGGTTCCCAGCCACGGAGACCCAGCTGGGGTCTGCCGCGGCTTTCGTCCTTCTCTGCCTCTCCCGGCATCTCACTTGCTTCTCGCCGCCAGCCCCATCCTTCCTGACCTCCGCACCACGGGCTCACGCTGGGCACTGGGCTGCTGAAGGGTCTTAGGTCTGTCCCTGAACCAGGCAAGAGCCATTTCGTTGCTGTACCGAGGAGGGGATGACCGCAGACACGTCCACACCCAGCAGCTCACGGAGGAAAAGGGAACAAGGCATTCATCATCGAGATGAAACAAAGCCTCTTCGTTACAAAGGGCTGCTCAAAGGGAGATTGCCTTGATGCAGGGCTGCAAAATTTCAGAAAAGCTGCTCTAAGGGTTTGTGAGGGTTTTTTGGGGGAGTTTGGTTTTGATTTTTAAACAATATGCCAACACAGGTTTTTGTTTGCTCGGTTTTAGTTTTTTTTTTTCTTGGGGTTTTTTGTTGTTTTATTTTTTTTAAACAAAGGTCCCCTTTGGCGCTGACACAGGTCGGCACCCAGGTCAAAAGATGCCATTTCCCAAGCGCCCCGCTGAAGGCTGCAGAGCAGCCCTGGCAGTCTGAGCCCAGGCTCGTGGTCAGCCCCTCTCCGGGTCCTCCCAGGACGGATTCAGCAAATGCCCGAGGTGGGGGAGAGGAAAGCTCCCAAGGACTCGCTCTGCCGTTAGCTGGATCCTCTATGATCCTCCAGCAGCAGCCTCAGAAACGCCAATTAGAATCAAAAAGACTTTCCAAAGACCTATTTCAGACTTTATTCGTTGCGACAAGTGCTTTTTACCTTGCGTGTTTCTCCCGGCTGCGGGGCTGAGCGGAGCGAGCGCAGCTCAGGGCTGCACCCGGGCCAGAGCTCTCGCTTTCACCCACGCCGGGGAAGTGGGGGACAGCCCCGTTCATCCCAGCACCTCACCATTTTCTCCTCGCTTCCATCAGGAACGAGCTCTCAGCATTTCCTGCACTGCGGGTGGCTTGTTCAGGGTTTGTTCCTAGAACACACACCCTTGTGTTAATCCAGATATTAGTATCACACCATGCACACACGTTAATTAGTCTTGGTAGAAAAACCTTTGGCAATTTTTTATGCCCAGAAGAGCTGGGATGATCCCTAAAAAAATCCACCAG